ACCTACATCAGTCCTCTAATCCACAGTAAGATAAATGTGCATGCGCACCCACACATACACATGCACGTGCACAAGAAACATAGTATTGCTGAAATGATTTAGCTAGATTGGTAATCACCGTATTGATTAATGTCTTGTATCTCAGGATAAGCACTGCGTGTCTCTTGGTAGTTCTTTCACAAGTATACCGGTAAGACATTTTATTTAGGGATCTGATTTTTCCAGTCTGCTTTTGTCCACTTACACTCCATTTGTTGGAAATTGTATGTTCCCTCTCTTTTGTTCACTTACACTCCCTTTTTTGTTATAGTAAAAGGTATTAAAAAACAGAATGGAGTGTAAGTGGACAAAAGGGAAGTGGGAAAATCACCACCCTTTATTTATAGTCTTCAAGTTGCTATAACTATACATGCATGTTTGTCATAACTTGTGGTGGGATTTTAATGCAGGCCTGGCTTGGTTTTCCTCTCATTGCTTGCCTTAGATATTGCCAGCCACTGGCTGCAGATGTACAGGTTATTTTCTTTTTCTTTTTAATTAATTTATGGATGGGATGAATTGGGTTATTCCTTGAGAAAGTTTTTTTTTGTTAACACTTTAGTTCATTTATTTGCAGTACTTTCCTGTTAGGCAAGGCTAGTCATAAGGATGTGAAAGACAGCACTAATTGGCTTTTTAAAGCATACTACGGGAATCGGATGTTTATGGCTTACTGTTGTGTAGCTTGTGAGGTAAGTGTAAATTGGTTTGCCTATCTACGTACGGAAATCTTTCAATAGTGGTAGTTGCGACTTTTCTCTAACTTTGAGTATTTACTCTGCAGGTGCTTTATATAATTCTATTTCTTCTTGCAAAGAACGAAACCGAGAGCTTGATTGATGTAAGTGCTGTTTTTTAAGATATAAAGAGGAAGTTCCCAGATTATTTTTGTTTCTGAATTTCCCTATTTCAGGTTTTAACTGGACTTGCAAAGCATATTACACCTCTTTCTGTTCTTGTTGGTTTGAGTTTATTTGGATGGGCCGTCAAGCAAGCAGTCAATCTTATACAGGTAGATAGTACATTTATGACCATGGCTATCTGTTTACTGTCTGAAAATGAAGAATTACTTTGTGTTGACAAATAGTTGAGGTTCCCCTAAAAGAAATTGATAGTTTTAGTCAGTCCTACTCAAGTTTTCTTGGTAGTTTGTCGTCCAAATGTTCTTTTAAATTTAATCTAGCTAATCAACTTTTTCAAGTTTAAGTCATCTAATTCTTCCTATCTGTTCGACCAAAGAAAAAAAAAATCTTCCTATCTGGATTGTTTTGAAATTCATTTCATGATTTCAGTTGAAGACAGCAGCAGATGTGTGCGTGCTTCATGATATCAACAAAAAGCAGAGCCCCTAATGCAAATCAACTTCTATGACCTGAGGTGCATTCAACATTCAGCTTTGCTGCCCTGTTCATCATGTTCAAATGCGTAACCCGCGAGTGGGATTGCTTTATTTTAGCGAGACATAAAATGAAGAAAGAATTTTAATGCCTTTTCTTTCATTGATTTAATTTTAAATTTAAATTTTTTTGAGTGAACCATAGTACAAAATTTGACACTTTTGACATCTTTTCTTAACCTTAAAAGGAAGAAAGAAAAAAAAGGGCATGCTCTAATTCCCGAGCTTCTTTCTTCTAGTTAGTTGTGTATGATGTGAATCCAAACCCCGCAAAAGATGTCAATTGAAATGATAATGATGATTATTTGAATTTTCATACGCATTGTCAGCACGTTGCACCGACTGACTAGTGGCCGGAAAACATCGGATTCAACAAGACTCTCATCAATATTAAAGCATACATCCCCGGAAATTGTTACCTTTTTGAATTTGGATTCTCTCCTTCTCTTAGCTTTTCATTTTACTTCTAATTGAAATGGTGGTTTCTTAATGTTCACACATGTTAAGTATCATTCCACGATCCGTTTGTTTGTATATTGAAGGGAAAAAATCAGTACAAATTCCACGTTAGACACTTTGAAATCGGTAAAAGGTTGAGCACTTCCAACCATGGAGCAGCCTAGTTTCGATGCAGAATTTACATTCCCCTGGTTGATAACTGCTATGAACAGCTGGTGCAACAACATAGAACAACTTGGCTGGATAAAGATTAAACATGAAATATAAAGCAAATCGTTAAACCATTCTTGATTTGTACCGTAAAAATATTACATTTTTAGAAAGGTTGCCCTCTATTAAAACCGTAAAAAGCTTCAATTAAAAAAGAAAAGAAAAAAGAAGATGGTACTCTCACTGAGAAAAGGTGCTGAGCAGATGAACTTTTGCTCTAAACAAATCGAATAATCCTTCTAAGATCTTTTATCCAACACTCGTGGAGAAGCCTGAAAATGTCAATCTTTACTCGCTCAAAAATACTAATACAGGCTATACCCGAATAATTGGCTGATGATTATGGCAGATCCAAGAGCAATTGCAACCAGGGAAGAAGCCCATGTCAGTTTCTCTGTTATTCTGGGAACTCTATTCTTTAGTGCCTGACTACATGAGCCTAGAAAGACTGTATAGCTTCCCATTGCAACTACGGTCCCAACTAAAAACATAACCAGAAATGTGGCACCAGCAACGCGAGATGGCAAAGCAAGCGCGGGCAAGACCATCATCAATGCATCTGGCTGCAGCCCATGGACAATTCCAGTGGCAAAAGTAGCAAAACCAATCTTCTTCTTCCCAACGGTAGGGTTTTCTAGAGATTCATATACACTAACATCACACTCTCCATTCTCCAAGGCAACACAAGGACTTGAGACTTCTGAAGCTTCCTTAATGCCCATGGCACCAATAACTAGTAGAGTAATGCCCACAACTCTTGTGCCCCATGTTCGGATAATTTCAATGTGAAGCCGATCCTTTAGTAGTAGAAATATTAAGCCAAAGATAACCTGGCCAGCGTCATGGCCACATCCCCAGAGGGCTCCAACTAAAGCACTTTCAATGCGGGTGCGTCCAATTGAGAGTGGAGCCAAAGCAGCTAAGTGGTCAGGACCTGATAATGTGTGTAAGCAACCGGCAAAGAACCCAGTCCATGCACTACTAAGTAATTCAGTCTGGATCAGTCTTCCCCCCATAGCAGCAGCTGGGCTACCCGTCTTTGTTGCAGTTTGAAAGGATGCATAAGCCGCTGGTGCACAAGCTGGTTGTATTAAGATCAAAACAAGGGCAGAAAGCACAACAAATGCCCCAGTGGTGATCAGGCCCTGATCACCAAAAGAATATAACAAGTTATCTGGTCAAAACAAATGGATTAATGGTCGCATATAAAAGGTGAAACTGTAGCGGGGAATTTGCAGACGCCCCATCTATCTCATTTTGATAATGGTCGTTGTGGATATAGTAGTCAAGAAGCAAATACAAAACTTCGATGGAAATAACGGAAACTTGTGTACACAGTATAACCTATGTTCCTACTTCAATCCATGATTACCACAGTGACTCTCTGTTAACATTCCGCTGTTCTCTTTTAAAGATTAGATCTAAACCTCCTTTGAGGGTGCTACCAAGTAGACAAGCAGTTGCTAACACAGAGAGTCCACGATGAGACATTACAATCTGGTATGAATAAACTGCATATTCTAAACTACAAAACTATGCAAGTTTTAGAGGGCAAAAATAACTATATTTTGGATCAGACAACGACAACATTTCGGATCAGAAAGTACTCCGTGGAAAATAACCAAACATTTCATCACTCATCAAACCAATTGTTTACATTTTCAACACATGATTCTAGCAATAACAACAAAGAAACCCCACAACATAAAACTAATCAAAGTCATATATTTGATCAATTTCTGTCATTTAAAACAAGATATGTCTATTACCTTGCGTTGGGTAGAAGCCCCATTTGCAATCTTCTTGATAATCTGCGGATTGTCAAATATAGTGTAATTGAGAGAGTAAAGAGTGAGGAATAAGAGATGTTTTGCAGAGAATTCTCCCTTATATCTTTGTAGATTTGGCAACTCCGGCCGGTTCGGCGAGAGAGCCGGTAAAATGTTGGACGGCGCTGATGAAGAAGGAGAAGAAGAAAAAATTGGAGATGGGTTTTGATGTTTGCAGGAAACCAAGCTGACTCGTCTGAGATTGGGCAGTTGGGAAGCGGGAAAGTTGAGTTTGGCCGAGGCAATACGAGCGAGTGGAGGGAGAAAAGGTGAGGGTTTTACATGGAGTTTCAAAGGGGTTGGGGAGGAAGAGGACAGAAGCCTTTCCATGGCTTCTCTCTCCCTCTCTATCTGCCTCTCCTTTGTGTTATGTCCTGTGTCTCTGATAAAGGTTTAGATTTGGAGGCAATGAACCTGCAGAGAGAGAGAGAGAGAGAAGGGTTTAGCAAAAATCACTCCTTTTTGTCCTGTAAAAAAGTTAATTTTTCTTTATTTTCACGATGCGATTTTGTTCCCTTCCCTTTCCACTTCCTTCCTGGTCTTGAAAGGACGCAGCAAATCCATTATCATTATTGTTAAGGTCCAATACTTTGTTTTGCTTATTGATCCACGGTCCACCTATGAATTTGGTTCATCTTCTTCATTATCTACCATTCTCCGGTTACTGTAGTAGTTGAATATTTAAAGAGTCTAGCCGGGCGGTTGTACTCTGTAAATTTTAAAGAGTATAGCCGATTGGCTATACTTTTTAAATATATACGAATATTTTAATAATATAGCCGAGCTGCTATAATATTTAAATATATTCGAATAGTACACTCTGTAAATGCATACGAATATTTTAAAGGTATAGCATATATTCGAATAGTATACTCTGTAAATGCATACGAATATTTTAAAGGTATAGCCGCGCGGCTATACTATTTAAATATATTCGAATATTTAATAGTATAGCCGTTCGGCTACACTGTACAAAATGGTTTTCTTTTTTGACGAAACGGTGTCGCATTATTCTGGTTGGTGACTTGCATAAGAGGAAGGAACCATATCACAAACAAAGCAAAAGCACATGGTCGAAACACTCTCTTCGGCTGTTATCTTTGCTGCGAAAGCACTTAGTCTCAGAGATGAATAGCAGCACTCATTATTTCTCACATGGCACTATAGCTTTGTTCTGTGGTAAAGGAATGGACTTTCGTCCCAAAGTTGGGACCTTGCAGGCTTCCTTCAATGGAAAATCAGAATTTCTGAATCTCCACGTTTACCCTGCTCTTACTTCCATTGATTCTTTTCGATTTCAGGTATGCTGACATTCATTCTCACTACTATTCAATTGAAGATTGCTCAAATTTAGTATTGTGATTTTAATTGATTAAATTTATTTGTAGGAGCATGGTTGCAATGTACTGAAGCTTTCATTGAAGTCAAGAACTTCCCAATCGCAAGCATTGGTGGTGAGGAGCGATCATCCTCAAAATTCTGACTTTCCGAAATACTATTCGAAAAAGGAGAAGAAGCCCTTTCCAGTCCCCATTGTGGACTTGAGGCGGGCTGCCAGGGAGAGGCTTAAGAGCAGGAAGGGCAAGCCTAAAACACCAGTTCCTCCTCCCAAGAATGGCTTGCTTGTCAAGACCCTTATCCCAGTTGCCTATGACGTCTTCAATGCAAGAATTACATTGATCAATAATTTGAAGAAGCTTTTAAAGGTGGTGCCTGTGCAAGCTTGCAGGTTGGTGTTACCTTTAGGAACTTTGTTGGAAAGGAACTCGCATAATTAAATGGAAATTAAATTTTGCTCCTTTCATTAATCACTGAACTTGTGTGCAGGTTCTGTAATGAAATTCATGTGGGGCCTGTTGGGCATCCGTTCAAATCATGTAAAGGTGCAAATGCTAACATTCGTAAGGGTGTTCATGAGTGGATAACAAATGCGACCGTTGATGACTTATTCTTACCAGTTGAAGCTTTCCACCTCTATGATCGCCTTGGAAGACGCATTCCTCATGAGGAGAGATTCTCAATTCCTAGAATTCCAGCAATAGTTGAGCTTTGCATCCAAGCTGGGGTTGATGTCCCAGAATATCCCACTAAAAGGAGAAGAAAGCCAATCATCCGCATTTCAAAAAGTGAATTTGTTGATGCAGATGAAAGTGAGCTACCAGACACTGACACTGAAGGACCCAAGAGACCCGTCTTGACTGAAATACCCGATTCAGAGATAGTAGCCCCATCAGATGAAGAAGAAACAACCTTGCTTGCTGAGGAAACACTACGAGCATGGGACCAGATGAGGAGAGGAGCCAAGAGGCTAATGAAGATGTATCTGGTGAGGGTTTGTGGGTATTGCCCTGAGGTTCATGTGGGTCCCAGTGGGCACAAGGCTCAGAACTGTGGAGCCTTCAAACACCAACAACGAAATGGACAACATGGTTGGCAGGCGGCAGTGCTCAATGACTTGATACCACCAAGATATGTGTGGCATGTTCCAGATGTAAATGGACCACCAATGGAAAGGGAGCTCAGGAACTTCTATGGGCAAGCCCCTGCTGTTGTTGAAATGTGCATTCAGGCGGGTGCTGCTGTGCCAGAAGAATACAGACCAACCATGAGGTTGGATGTTGGAATTCCCTCCACCATTAAAGAAGCTGAAATGGTAGTTTGATGAGATGAGTTGATCTTTGCCCCCTCTTCTTTTCAGTACAATGTAAATTGTATGTAGAATATTGGAATTGAGTGCTGGGAAAAATTCTTGCAGATAATTTGTTTGTACATATTACCTTGCTTTTTTCTATCCCAAAACAATGCAAATTGATCTAAAACATCCTTTTATCACCTAACCATTTTTTGAGACCTCCAAAGAAGAGTAATTCAGTCACCCTTCCTCTTTGACCTGAGGAAAAATCTCATCAAATGTAACAATCACTATCTTACCATGTCGCTTGAACAAAAAGCTAGAATCAGGTCTTTGCAGTTAAAGTTCAATCTTGCAGTTTTTCATGGAGTGGAGTTTTGCTCTGCTTGATTGTCTGTTTGGCTTTACAATTTTTTTGGGGTGCGCGGTTCTCTTGGGTTGCTGCATACCGTGCCCTTGCAGCGTGTTTTTCTATACCTGTGGGGTTTTATTTATTTATTTATAATTTTATGCTGCTCCTCTCAGCCGCTCTCCATCCGGGGGCATTTTCTGGTTTCCTCGTATGTATGGCTGATGTGTTACTTTATTCTTTATAATTTGGTTTTGTTATGTGTTGTTCTGTCTTTTGGATCTTAGTTTAGTGTTTCGCTGTGCTTTGGTCGCCTTGAGTATAGATGACTCACAGCCTTCAGGATAATGCAGCAAGTGCAACACTCGTGTGCTATCCTACTTTCAGGGAAGGCCATACTCCACGCTGCTCAATTTTCTAAACCTCTGGCTCACACTCAAATGAGACCGCAAGAGGTTGGCATGGAGGCCATTTGGATTGGACTATCTGTTCAATTAATCTATTGGCCTTGATTCTTCCACATGAATTGATAGGTGAGGTGCATCAAAAGCTAGGAAAATGCACCTAACTGAGAATGCAGATAAGCAGCATTGCCCCTTTGAGCTCCAAATATGGATTGAAAATTTTGATATATTTAACATTTTCGTTTCGCTGGAAGGGTCAATTTGTTGACCCTTAAAAAGTGGTTATTGGGTAATTAAGGCCACATGCATAGAGCAATCCTATTGCTGCTGCATGGAAAAAGTCCTAATGGGTTAACGCCATAACTTCTTACACTTGTATGCATTCTATTTCTTTCAGCAACCTCAGATCCCCCACTTTATTCTGCCCACAAGCGTTCATAACCGCCTCAGCACACAGACACACCCGCAAAAGAAAAAGACGTACGTCCGGATAAACGAAGAGACAGAGAAAGCAAGGGAAGTAGTTTTACTTTGCAAGAGGCAAACTCAAGCCAGAGAGAATTCAAAGCAATGGCAGGACCACAACAAGTGAAGGCTGCTGCAGGCGCACAGGGGATGAAGGGGCCGTCACCGGCGCAGCATTCAACGGAGGTACTCCATCAGACGTCAAAGCTGTCTTTCTGCCCAATGAGAATGGCTCTTGGTGGCTTTGCCGTAATTGTCACCATTGGTTATTTCACCTTATACACCAAGAAGAAGCCGGAGGCATCTGCTTTAGACGTTGCCAAAGTTGTCACCGGATTTTCCCATCCAGAAAACACTCACCCCCGCAAATAGATTACCAATTAACTTCATAAATATCAACTTCAGCTTACTCTGTTTTAACAACAAAAAGAACAAATTGTCATGCCTTATATCATTATTACATTATATTTGTGGAGGTTTTTTTTTTAATTTTTTTTTAATTTTTTTAATTTTAAAAGAAAAAGTGTTGGGGTTCCCTTTTTACTTGTAATGCTTTTATATGACTGGCTGAAGAGCAAATAAGATGTTGGTCATGCTCTTGTAACTTGTTGGTCTCCAATATATATACAAAGGATTGTCAAATGCATTCATGTGCATGAGCAATTACTGGCATCAAGTCCATTTGTAGTAATCATCACCCTGCAAATAATAATTTCATTCTGAGAACAAGTTTGTGAAACAAGGCATTTGGGAAACAAAATTGCATAATGAAAATAAAAACAAACCAGAAATACAAAATTGCATAATAAAAACGAAAAGCAAAACAGAAATGTGAAAGAAAAAAGCAAAAACCCCAAGTTTTCAAGTATCCACTGATTTTTCCCGGAACGTGTTAACGCATGAGGCATAATGTAAATATTCCTCCTTTTTTTTTTCACCAAGTCTAAGCTGTCTAACTGAATTTTAGCAGTAGATTAGATTTAGAGCGGAAAGGAGCAAAGAAGGAAAGAAGAAGCTTGTGGCTTTGGCGGTCTCACCCTATCACAAGCAGCCCCACCCCACCCCGATACATCCAACACCAACAAAGACAATCACTTTCGTTTCGCAAATTCATAAGCACAAGAACACCCAGAAAAACCCAATATTAGAATAATAAACTAATCAAGGATAAGGGATATGCCTTGAATTTCTCACTGCACGTGACTGATGTGCTCCCATCCCAGGACTATAAACCCTAATCCCCGTACAATTCACCCCGACTCAATTCTCAAAACTCTTTTCTTTGAACCTCCATGGAAGTCACTTTTCAACCTTCCCATGCTGTACTCTGTATATATCATCCTTTTCTCTTTTCGTTTCTTTTAAAAAAAAATAAAAAATTATGGACAAGAATTAAAATTTGGGCTGACACTCTCTGTGGTTACTTCAACCAACGTATCAGGTCACAAGCAATCGAGGTTTGCTTCAACATCGTCTTTGTTGCTGGTAGTTCTTCTATACCTTTATTTATTTATTTATAATTTATCCCATTTTCTCTAGCTGTCCTCCTTTGATTCAAATCTGTTTGACTTACGGGAAAAGAAAAGTTTTCATTTTTAATCAAGTTGAGGAATTAGTAGTTTGATGTCTATATGATATAATGCATTTTGAATTATGGGCAATGAACACCAATTCAGCAGGCTACACACACTTAGCATCATCACAACTTTGGTAAAGGCTTTGGTGTATTTATGTGGCAGTAGCCCTTTATGTTTTTTAATTTGATCCATTCGCCTACCATCGTTGGTAGAAGAAGCACCAAACCCACTGCCCTCTTCCGTCCATTGTTGGTGTAATTGCTTTGATATTTTCTTCATAATGCAGCCATTCACTTACAAGGGACTCTCGAATGGGTGCTCTCCATGCAGATGGCCCATTTTGGCAAATTTAAGTAAATGTAAGTATATGCGTTCTTAGCTTAGTATCTCACGTGATTTTTGCTCCAAGTCCAAATACATGCATGATTGAGTGCTGTCTTGTTATTTACGTTTACAATCTTTGCAAAATTCTCGGTTTTTGCCTATTAGCCATGAGGATTATGTATGATCTACACAACTATTTCAAAGAAATCCAAGACAATATGAGATAGTGTGTGGATTGTGGAATCATCTTGTATGGCTAATATTTGTGACAAATCTATTTATTTTTGTTATTCATTCTATTGTATCAACATCAAACCATGCATATATAGCTGATGTCTGGATTTAAAGGCACATGTTTTGAGATGGATGTTTGAATGGACTATATGAGCTTCTTCCTCCTCCCTTGCAGATTCATTTACTCTTTTGTCCTGTCTTTTAGATCTGGTTATGATGCCTCTTTTTTCCCCTCAGTTGCTTGTCGTAGTGTTTTATGCATTCAAAGGAAGCATGGTGGCATATCATGGTGCAACATGGATGCAAAAGGGGATTTTGGAAGGCCAAATTATGATATTAGATTGCACAGCCAGCATAGGTTGTCCAGGTATGCAGTTGGACGATCTGGACTTACTGAAGCTGGGACCGCTGGTGCTGACTATCCATTGCCAGGTTTCTCTAACTGCTGTTATTCTGTTTTTACTTCCTTCTGTTAGCAGCCTTATAAATCTAATTGACTGACCGGTTGTTATTTTTTTGAAGTGCAGAAGTAAATACGGTCTCAAAATTTAGGGGAATGGGCTTCTACGCCATTACTTCTTTCAATGCCATTTATCTCTTTCTGCTGATGCTGGTAGCCCATCCTTTTGTTCTGTTGTTGGATCGATACAGAAGAAAAGCTCATATGTTTATTGCCAAAGTTTGGGCCACTGTCACTGTTACACCATTTGTTAAGATCAAGTTTGAGGGACTGGAGAATTTGCCTCCTCCAGATGCTCCTGCTGTATATGTTTCCAACCACCAGAGCTTTTTAGACATATATGTTCTTCTCACAATTGGGAGACCCTTTAAGTTTATCAGCAAGACTAGCATATTTCTCTATCCCATTGTTGGTTGGGCCATGTTTCTGATGGGTGTAATTCCTTTAAAGCGCATGGACAGCAAAAGTCAATTGGTATTCCATTTCTTTTGTTCCGTGTATATAAATGCAATCATTATCTAAACTATGGTTTTAAAATATGTTGGCTTCTGTATATAGGAGTGTCTTAAGCGTTGCATAGATCTTATCAAGAAGGGGGCCTCTGTCTTTTTCTTTCCTGAGGGAACACGCAGTAAAGATGGAAAATTAGGCTCTTTCAAGGTGAGATATTTTCTATTCTTTGTCCTTGTTTGCGGATTATGTGTAGTTTTCTTTAAATAAAGATAATTAGGAAATTTCTGAACTGTGTTGTTGACATGCAGAAAGGTGCCTTCAGTATTGCAGCAAAAACCAAGGTACCAGTTGTGCCCATTACCCTTATAGGAACTGGAAAAATCATGCCTCCAGGAAGGGAGGCTATCTTGAATACTGGATCTGTGAAAGTTGTGATTCATAAGCCTATACAAGGAAATGATACAGAAGTACTGTGTAGTGAAAGTAGAAACATAATCGCAGATGCACTCAATCGTCAAGGCTGAGATATCTACTGCCACATGTTCTGATTGGTTTCTAGGGTTTCATACTTAAATCCTTTGCTGTGGATTGACGAAACAGGTTCAGAAAGGTATGAATCATTTGTTGAATTTCCTCTCTGCTTACTAATTGCTGCCAATTTTGCTCATGCTAAAGTTTATAAGAGCTATTTGAAACTATATGCTCATGCTAATCTCGATCATGCACCTGTTTAGACTTGTAGCTGTGGTGCAGTAGAGATAAAGTTGTGTATCACAATGTTAAACTGTAACATGTGGATGGTTCCCTCCTCCTCCCTAGGCGGATAGTTTCTTCTAATTTGCTTCTTGTTCATTTTGAAAGTAATGTTTTAATGGTTTTAAACTGAATGCTGTATAGGCTTATATATTGAGAACATGTTTGTTTGGTCTCTTCTCTTGTACAAATGTGCTGCTGCATTAGTTGGCAAATAAATCGTGTTCGCTCTGAAGGTAACTAAACATGTTTTGCCACTTATTATTAGGTTGTGGTTGTGGATAGATCATATCATAGCTGATACAGATACAGAGCAAATGAGTCACGTCTGTCTGAATCTGTAACGTCTCCTTGGCCGTGCCAGACTTACAAACTTGCAAGCGCCCCGGCGGCCTAATAAAGTAAATGTCTTCATCCCAATATCCACAGAGAGAAGCCAAGGGTTGGCCGGGCCCGGGTCCTGGAGTCTTGACCAGTGTTGCCTTCCAATGTTTAGAGATAATAAATAAAAGGGGAGGCCCTTATGTTTTGTCCCCAAGATTATACCCTTGTTTTTCTTATTATTTTTTAATAGAAATATGCCCCCACGTCTCAAATCCAATCTCATATTGCGATGGATAATTACTCGTTAAGCAAATCAAATATTTACGATACGCATTAAGCTTTGGCCATGAAATTTTACTGAGCAATCCTGGTTTGACTTTTTAATCGCATGATCCATGACTAATTGATTGTATTTTAAAATGGTGATTCATTTTCCATCAAATTATAGTATATCTCTTTGAATTTGGGAAGGCTTCGTGCATGCTGCTAACACTAGAATTGGAATTTGGAAGGAAAAATAAAATTAGTGTCTTTCTTCACATATCATTTTTGAAACATTGAAGGGGTCATTTGCACCTGTAAATCTAATCCGGCCAACCAAAGTTTAGACTAGTTAATTTGATAATTAACCGATATTATGGTTAATTACACGTACAAGTTACAACTTCTGGAATAAATCTATTTATCTAAAGGTTATTTACTCAAATGGTCCTTAAACTTATACCCGAGTTGCATTTTAGTCTCTCAACTAAATTATTTATTCAAATGGTCCACTAACTCTTTATTAATCAACGAATTGGTCCAACCGTTTCATTTTGTGTTAAATTTAATCATGTGAGCAGCACATGCTACATTTGTGGGATAAATAAGACTTTTAATAGCTAAAATAAAATAAAATATACAATTAAAAATTAATACAAATTTTTTTTATAAAAAATTAAGTAAGAACTATAAAAGAATAAAACAACAACAAAAAAAAGTAACCCAAAAAAAAAGGGGCCCACTGAACATCTCTCTCCCAACCTCTTTGTCTCTTTGTCCCTCTCTTCCTCTCTCTTCCCTCTGCTTTGAGTTTCCTAAATATAGAGAGAGGCTACGGATGCGCCTATAGGGATTTTCATTTGTCTGAAGAGAGAAGAGGGGGAAGAGAGAGGAGGTGGGGACAATGAGGGAGGGGAAGAGAGGGTGGGTTGCGGGGAGGAGAAGATGGGGCGATGGTTTTCGGGCTACGGGCAATGAGGCGGGAGAGGGAGGGAGGTTTTTTTTCTTTTGATTTTTAGTTTTTAATTTATTTAGTATTTTATTTAATTGGACTGTTTTGCCTTTATATTTAACGGAAACATTGACAGAATGTAATGGTATGTACAATTCACTAATTAATATAGAGTTGGTGGATTGTTTGAACGAATAATTTAATTGAGGGACCAAAATGTAACTTAAGTATAAGTTTAATGACCATTTGAGTAAATAACTCTTATCAAAAAAATCAATAATCCTAGATAACATAGTGGTGAGAGAGACGCGATAACAAAGGAATAGAAAAAGGCCTTTTTGCAAGTTGAACTCTGTTGTCATCTCATCAGTGTTGTGAAAACATTTCGGAAACCATTGACTTATTTTCTTCTTTCTCAATTTATTTCGGAATTCGTTCATTCTCTCTCGTGACATCGTCCTTTCCTTTGATTGTTCTCGACAAGCTGTTGTATAACTACAATCTCTCCGTCGGCACAAGGAACGGAATAAGAATCTAAAGACCTACGGATTTTACTGTGAGTTCTTTTATCTATCTTTTCCAATCCCGCGTGCTTGATCATTTCTGCACAGATACGCATTTATACAATATGGGTTCTTCCGTAAATTGCAGGAAATCTGTCATAGATTGAAATTACTGTAATTTTATTGCATGTATTTATGGGCTTTTGTGGTTTGAACCACTCTACCCTTCATCTACCACCACACAGCTTTTCCTTGAACTCAGTCATGTTCATTGCTTCTTTTTTTTTTTTTTTTTTTTTTT